TTTGATGCATTTATGAAGTGTTAAGAATCATCAGACTTGTTAGTCTGTTGTTTATATATGAGAGGACCAAATCAAGGTAATTTTTTTTTAAAGATTTTATTTATTTGAGAGAGAAGGAGACAGAGCATGAGTGAGGAGAGGGGCAGAGGGAGAGGAGACAGAGACAAGCAGACTCCTTGCTGAGTGAGGAGCCCTACCCTGGGCTCGATCCCAGGACCCTGAGATCATAACCTGAGCTGAAGTCTGATACTTCACTGACTGAGCCATCTAGGTGCCCCCAGAATCATTTTTCTTACCAGAATCAGGTATTAGGTTTGCACTTGATAGATGTAAGTGGCCATACCAACCCTACCAAACCATGGCATTTTACTTTTTAAATGTTTAAAATAGAAGTTTTAGACAATCTGTAGAAAGAGATTAGGATTTCACTCGACTTGCCTTCCTAGAGTATGTGTTGGGGGATATAATGAATAGTTGCTTGTATTAGTAGTTTATCTATTTCCTAGAAAATTCTCTCTTTTAGATGAAGAATTTTGGTAGTCACTGGTTTCTAGGATCTTTTGAACTAAAAGGGGCCACAGAGTGCATGGACCATCTCTGCCTTCACTATGGCAAAACCAAAGGCTGTGGGGACGCATAACCCTCCACCCTTGTGAGGACTTCCAGCCTGCCCTGTTCAAGTAATTTCATCATAGAGTTTTAGTGCTCTGTCAAGCCATTTTTTCCTGATATTCAATCAAAAGCTCCTTTAATTTAAGCCCATTTTTCATATACTAAGTCATCCATTGTGATGGAAATATATTTAGCGTCATTCTTCTCAGACGTGTCTCTCCAATTTCGTCTCTCTTTGCTCTCACTGCCACTGTCTAATTCAGATTCTGATTGTGTCTCAGCTCGACAGCAGCCCCGGTCCCAGCTTTCTAAGATCTTCATTCAGCATTGCTTCCAAACTCATAGCCCTGAGACATATATGTCCCTTACCATCAAAATGCTTAATAGGATAGTGTCCAGGCTTGTCAGTTCATGGTTTAGATCTTATGTTAGAAAGTATGTTCTGTTGAGAATGGAGTTAAATCATAAAATATCAGTGACTTAAATAAGAAAGAAACCTATTTCTATGTTATATAAAAGAAGACCAGAGGTAGGCAGGCCAGGGCTCAGAGAGTAGTTCCATAGTTTTAAGCCCATTCTGTTGTGCTGCTCTCTGGTGTAGAAAGCACCCTTGTCCTGCAGCCTCTGGGACCAAGATGAGTGCTTGAGGTCCAGCTGTCACATCCACATTCCAACCAGCAAGAAGGAAGAAAGAGACACTTCCCGGACGTCACTTACAACACCTTCACCTGCATTTTGCTGGCTAAAACTTAGACATATAGGCTACACTAAGTTGCAAGAAAGCTGAAAAATGTAGTCTATTAACTAGGTTTCCCCAGCTGAAATTGGAGTCCTTGTTACCAGGAAAGAAGAGACTAGATCTTGGGCAGTAACCAGAGTGTCTGCCGCAGGACCTTTTTGCCATCCTCCTTCCTCTCCTCACCCCAGAGCCTTCTCACCCAGCCCTTGTATCTTCAGGCTGTTAGTGGCTACAGTAAACCTCTTGCTAGTCCTTTACCCTGTCAAGCCTTTTCACAGCTCTGGGCCTTACCTGCAGTGTCCTTTCACTTTCTCATCTCTCTCACATCCGTACATCCTACAAGCCCAGGTCACTCCCTCAGGGCAGTTTTTTAAATCTCCTTAACAGTGACAACATAACACTAATTCCTGGAGCCAGATAGCAGTGGAAGAAGAGCTTTCTGAACTTAGTAGTGGAACACACTTGGGTTTTAATCTCTTCTCTCCAGCTTGGCCTGGAAAGTACAGAAATGGAAGGACTCAGCCTACAGACTGTGTTTAAACCATAGCCTAGACCTCTCTTCAAGTTCCAGACCTTTATATTGAACTGCTTATTCAGCGTCATCATTTGACGGTTTCATAGGTAGCCTCAAAGAGGAACACCTCAGAAGTAGAACTCGTGGTTTCCACCTCCTTCTCTAGTCTCTCCTGTGACAATAATGGTACCTCTATCGACCTAGCTGCAGATGTCAGAAAGCTGGAAATCACCCTTCACTTCTCATAGCTAATGATCTGTAGGGTTTCCTGTCTGATCACCATCAAAATCTCTTTGTTTAAGTGTACAGTGTGCCTGAGGTTGATCCTTTTCATTCCCTACAGTGCCTCCATCGTAGCACCATCCTCACATGTCTGGACTACTCCAGTAGCTCTTCGCTGGCCTCCCTGCCTCTGCTCTCAGCCTGCTTGAACCTGCCCTCGGGCAGTGTCACTTTCATGCACAAATCCTTGCCAGCTTCCCCGTGTATCCAGGTTCCAATTTAGGACATGTCAATCCTAGAAGACGTCAGCTGACTTGACTCCTGTTACCGCTCACCCTCATCCCTGCCATGCCCGTTCTGAGGCTCACTATGCTCCAGCTACCTGGTTTTCTTTCTGTTCCTCGTTTGTGCCAGGCACCTCTCACCTCTGTCCCTTCCCAGTACCGTTTCCTACCTGGGGTCTTCTGTCCCTTTCTTTATTCCTGAACACACCATCCTGCGGTGTCAGCTTAAATGTCACTTCCATGCAGGGCCTCTTTTCCTGACCTCTTAATCTAAATTGTATATTGAGAGAACTCTTCCTCCTTGAAACTGTTCTTTCCTTCTTCGCCTTCATCACGATTTATTGATTGAGTGGTTATTTATTGAATATCACTCGTGCATAAAGTATATGTTCTCTAAGGGCTGGAACCATATTTCTTTCATTCACTGAATCCTTAATGCGCATTGCTCAATAAATAGACATGGAATAAATGAATAAATGAAGAATCTCATGATTAAACAGTGTGTCAGATCTCTCATTAACCTGACAACTTTGCTGTTAGGGTAGGGAGACGTAGTTGTTGGAAACCTATGAAGATGGTTCACCTTTCTAACCTGTAATTGTGTTTCCTCACATTTGTTGAACGTATCTCTGATGCTCACCTGCAGGGCTGAAAGCTTCAGTTTGATTGATTGGAATGCATCTTTGAACAAAGCTTCGTTTCTGTCAGGATATCCTTATGAACTCAGAACCTGGAAAGGTCATGTGTAGGTGTGATATTGGAAAATCACAGCTGGGCTCGCTTCCTTGGCTACCCCTCTTTCTTTGGATGCAACCTGGCATAACCTTTGGAACAGAAGACTTGCTTGTTGTTGGGGTGGAGTCCAAGGCAATAGTCATTTTAAGTTGGAACCATCAGTGACTGTGATAGAAGGTTGCATGCCCAGGATTTGGGATGCCTTAGAAAACCCCCTTGATTGCCAACTCTTGAGACTTAAAGTTCAGATAGCAGATATCTAGGTAGAATGTGCTGGTTCATGGTATTTCCAGCCTCCTAATCTTTCCTGAATGACCTCGTTCTGTGGAGCACGCTGGCAAGATACGTTATGGAGCAGATCAACAACTTGTGTGGGTTTTTTTCCTCCCCAAGAGTATAAAAGATGTGGTTCAGGAAGTGTCTAATGACCTTGGAATCCTGAACTATGGTCTAAAATCCTGAACTGTGGATATCATCTAAGATGGATATCCTCTTTTACTAATGGACAGGGTGATCAACAATGGGAAGGTTCTCATTTGTTTTTTCTTTTGGGAAAACAGTGAGAATTCTGCTTTCAGTGGGCACTATGGTGGGCATATTTCAGCATAGATGGAAAAGCAAACAGTTGATCATTCTTAAACCCCAGTAGGTCAGATCATGTCAGTGTTTCCAGAGTACGCCCAGAATGGTAAAAACTTGGCCTTAAAGCTGAGCTTTGGCTAAGAGGCAGCCAGTCCTGAAAAGGATTTATTTATTTATTTTGGCCTTGGTAATGTCTAAATGATGATAAGTACAAGTCTCTCTTAGCTATCTGGAGTGGAGCCCACATGAATGCACTGTGACCCCTAAAATCCAGAAACTCCAGTATAGTTGGATAAGACTATTTTGTGGGGGAACTCTAAAGTAAGATACGAAAATACAAAATATTAAATGTTCAGAAGTGTGTAATTTGCTGCATTTGTTCATGAGTGGTTTTAATACTTCTGGTACAGAGCCTAACTTCCCTCTTTATTAGGGAGATGTGTTCAGTTTCTTGGGTGAATGTGCATTTTATAAGTTTCTTAAGAAAGGAAATTAAACATTTAAAGACATTAAATACTCTTTATATAATGTCATTAAGAAAAGCCAGGAAAATCAGGGTTGGCTTATTTATTTATTTATTTAATAAATATAATCTATTTTCCCCCATTTTGTTTGTTATGGCTGGTACCAAAGTACTTTTAAAAGTTAACATTTATTTTGATTTCAGCAGATGTGCATAATAAATTAACCTATCTCTCTTCTTCACTGTGGGCTGGAGCAGTATTTCACATCTAGTATGTTTGGCATTTTGACACCTAACCCATTTAGCTCAGTTCAGCGTAGTTCGATATCTCTACTTATATGATGCTTAGCATTTGAATAACGTTAAATAGCTCAAATGTGGGCCCCTGAGTATAAGCACATTCATGCAAGTTGGTGATGTGATTGACCTTAGCTGAGTCTCCGGACTACTGTGGGCTAGGGTTTCCTTTTCTGTAAAGTGAGTAGTTTAGGATAAATAAACGGTGCTCCAAATTTAAAATCCCACCTGGCGCCTGGGTGGCTCAGTCCGACTCTTGGTTTCAGCTCAGGTCAGGATCTCCTGGGTCGGGACACTGAGACCTGCATTGGCTCCCTGCTCAGCCAGGAAGGAGTCTGCTCGGAAGATTCTTTCCCTCTGCCCCTCCCCCCACTCACGCTCGCACACTTGCATGTGCGTGCTCTCTCTCTCTCTCTCTCTCTCTCTCTCTCTCTCTTAAAAAAAAAAAAAAAAAAATCTTAAAAAAAAAAAAATCCTGTGAGTCTGTATGCCTACTAGATAGGCATCTAACTGATTCCTCATCTCTCTTTTTCCTCTCTCTTCTTATTTTAGGAAAAGAGGATGCTGATGCTCCCGTTACAAAAGATGAGAGCACCTCCACATCACAGGACCCAAGAGCTTTACCGGAGAAGTCGCTGCAAAGATCAGCAAAGGTCATTGCCCACAGATTTTCTGCATATGTCCAAATGACTGTCACCTGAGCTACCTGTCAGAGGGGTCTCATGCAATTCAGTGGGAGCAAGGAATCATAAAAAGCTAATATTTTGTATAACTTTAAAGGGATACATATATGTTGATTTGCCTGTGTTTGGATGAAGGTCCACAGACTTTCCTTTGTGTGTAGGTATGTTTACTGAAGTTCTGCATTATCTTTTTTTGCTTAAACCACACTCATAATGTGACATCTTTTTTTTTTTTTTTTAAGATTTTATTTATTTATTTGACAGAGAGAAACACAGAGAGAGAGGGAACACAAGCAGGGGAAGTGAGAGAGGGAGAAGCAGGCTTCCTGCCAAGCAGGGAGCCTGATGTGGGGCTCAATCCCAGGACCCTAGGATTATGACCCGAGCCGAAGGCAGACACTTAAGGACTGAGCCACCTAGTTTCCCCTAACGTGACGTCTTTGATTTCCAGTTCGGGTTATGTAAAGTGGAGTGAGAATTTAGGCACTATGTGAAACAGTACGAATGTAGATGCCTTCTATATTCTTAGTTTTTTGCTTCAGTTTTTTTTATTGTTGTCATGTCCACATCAAATTCAAAAGTAAGTTTTTAATGCCTTTTTTAGTTTTCCCCCAAGTATTTAATTTAGTTATTGTAGACACAAAAAACTGCTTTTGCATCCTGTCTGTTGTTTTGCATAGTTCAGTTTTATTTTTCAGTTATATATGCTAGTGGCATATTCAGATATGGGATCAAACACGGCTGACCCTAGCTGTGCAGAAGTGGTGGTAGAAGAAGCTTGTGGTAGAAGAAGTGGTTCAGTGGGTGGTAATAAGCAGGAGGCTTTCTCTGCCACAGACCCCCTTCAGCATGTTTGACTTGCGGGGGTAGTGTTGCCCCTCAGTCTAGCACCTCTTGCAGATTGACACGAGGAATTTCTGAATTATATTACATTTATGTTACCCTCAACTGCCTACCAGTTATTTTAATAAGCATTTTGAATACTAACCATATACCCATATACCAGGCAGCATGCTAGGTATAGAAGATTATAATGAATGGAAAGCCTGTGGGCTAGATCTGGCTTATAAACTTGTGTTTTGTGTGACTTCTGCAGCATTTAAAAATTTTGACTAAGTAGCTTACTAAAAAAAAAGAGAGAGAGAGAGAGACTTCTGGCTTCTCGTGATGAAACAAAACATCCGACAACACTGGGCCACATTCTTCAATGACTTTAGTCCGAGCTGAGTATAGGCCCCCCCCTCTGTAGGTGGAACTTGTGTTCTGCATTTTGCTGCTGCCCCCTCAGTGGTACTCTTTCTCTTGCTGGTTTGGTTTGTTTGTTTTGATAGCTTCTCAGTGAATTCAGTAAAAAATCACAAGGCAATGCAGCACATGTATGGAAAATTTACACTGTGACCAAGTCATTTCTCCAACTAATGTAGGAATCACAGGTGATGTCAAGCTACTTCATACACTTCTTGTGCTGTCAGATATTAAAACAAAAAGCAAGGGCTTCTAGTTCAGACAAGTGGGCATAGACTCGTTTCTCCTTGCTCTTTCCTGGTAGTACAGCTATAAACCCTGGAAAATAACAGGAGGCAGAATTCCGAAGGGTGAAGAGAGGAAGGCAAGTCAGTTAGGGACTCCTCCCTCCTCCCCCAGAAGTAGGAAATGACTGGGGAACACCAGTAAGGAGGATCCTCCCCCAACAGGTATATGGTCCAGGAGACCTTTTCCCTCATGGGTCTGAGACCCTGCTTTCCCAGCCAGAGACCCTCGGCACACAGGCAGCAGCAGGGTCCTACCACAACTAACAACCTGGATGGGAAGTTTCTTTGTCCCTGCATGGACGTGAATCTGTTCCTGATCCGTACTGGAGAGACCAGGTGGCCAGCCCTGAGGAAGTTCTCCTCACCCCCTCAGGCAGTACTGGCAGAGAGCGGCTGGAGCCCCAGTGGTTGCATGTCAGCCAAACATCAAAATACTACTGTGCAGTCTTTGCTGATGAAATTGTCATTGGAACTAGAGCCCACAAAAGTAGTTCAGGGTCTCTGTGCTAAAATAAGACAGGGTGACCTGCCTTCTAAAAGAAAACATTTCAGTAAGACCTTGCATCTCCCAACATAATAGTCAAAAGGTCCAGGTACAGAAGAAAATCGTTCATTATACCAAGAACCAGGACATCATCACCTGAGTGAGGAGAGACAACTAACTGATGCTGCCACCAAGACGGTGCAGCTGACGGTGACTTGAAATCAGCCATCATAAATACGCTTCAACAAGCGATGAAAAACTCAAAACAAGTGAGAAATTAGAAGATCTTGGCAAAGAAATAGAGGTTATTAAAAAAAAAAAAAAAAGAACCAAGTGGAAATTACAGGACTAAAAAACACAGGAACAGAAATAAAATACTCAGAGGATAGGCTCAGTAGTAAAGGTGACTCAGCATAGAATTAGTTAACTTGAGAAGAGATCAGTCGAATTTACCCTGCTGAACAGAGAGAAAATAGACTAGAAAAAGTGAACAGAGCTTCAGGAAGTTGTGGGACTATAAGGTAGATTCAGCATTCAGACCACTGGAGTCCTAGAAGGAGGGGAGCATCAGGAGAGTGGGGCTTATAGACTGTGCTGACTGGGAGCAGGTTAAAAATACCCGAGAGATTTTGAGGTTGGAGCAACGATTATATAACATGAATGTGTGTAGAATGGTGTCCATCTTCTATCTGCATCATTGTAATTCTCCTCTTTCTTTTTTTAAAGATTTTATTTATTTATTTGACAGAGAGAGAGATCACAAGTAGTCAGAGAGGCAAGCAGAGAGCCTGATGTGGGGCTCGATCCCAGGACCCTGAGATCATGATCTGAGCCAAAGGCAGAGGCTTAACCCACTGAGCCACCCAGGCGCCCCTATAATTCTCTTCTGATGGACTCCATAGCTTGTGTTTGAGGTTGGAGAATAGCAGTGGCCAAACTGTCCCAGAATTGAGGATTTTCTAGGGTGAGTGCAGTGGAAGGGGAAGAGAGGTGAGGCATTTGACGACAGAGGTGAGAGGACTAGAAGTGCTGGAAGATGATGTCCCTCAGAGGTAGGAAAGGATTTAGGCTGAAGAAGTAGCAAACAGACACAGAAAGCAGGCTGCGGTCAAGGCGCCAGTAGGCTTGATGTGGTGAAGAAGCCGTGGAGCAGGGCCCAGGAGAGTAGGGGACCTGGGCAATGGGTCAGTCTGAGATGATTGGGATTAGATCTGAGGATGCTGAGTGGTGGCCGTGAGGATGAGTTGCCAAAATGGAACGGAAGTGAGGGCCACTGGTACTGAGGAGGTATGGGGACTGTGAGGGCAAGACAGTGGCTGAGTCATTCACTGGGAAGTGTAAGCCAGGTACTGCAGAGTAACTAGGAGGTCTGTGGATGACAGTAACAAGAAGGCGACAGCCTGAACCATGAAAGGTTGCAGGCATACACACGAGGTGGGAAGAGTATGGTCTGGATGTGACAGCACAGGAAAACAAGGGCCTGAGCGTGGAGAAGGAGCAGCATCTGTCCAAAGGGCCTGGGACAGACAAACACACGTGAAGACGCAGTCAAGGATTCCTGTACAGAGGACACAGCAGCTTGTTCAAAACAGTGGTGTTTTCCAAGGAGGAAGGAAGGGTCAAGAGAATGTAGAGCCTCTCACGGGACTGAGATTTGCGGAGAGGACAGATGTACTGCGGGGTAGCAACCAGGTGTCCCTGGGGCAGAGGAGAGGCACGCTGCCTGGTTGGAGGCTCTTGGCAGACAGACTGAGGCCCCATGTGGAGTCAGAGACACGAACAAGAGCGGCAGCCAGCTCACCAGTAGTCTGGACCTTTGCTCAGTGGTCAGAGTGGAATGCTGGCAAGTAATTTGGTGAGCCGGTCAGAGTGCAAACTGTCTGCAGTGGGAAAGGGGAATAGTTCAGGGAGAAGAACTTCCCAGGGTGGGTGAGGGGATTCACCTTCTTCGAGAATGCGTCTCTCTTGGTGGAAATAGTATGTCCTTGTAATGCTGTGGTGGCCTGAGTCTTGGCCTGGTGAAATGAGAGAATGGGTTTAATGTTGGAAAGAAGGAAGGTGAAAAGGTTTCCAGCCTTTTTGTTTTTTATTTTTATTTATTTTTATTTATTTATTTATTTTTTTAGAGAAGGAGGTAAAGAGGGTGAGCAGTGGTGGCTCAGTAGGGGGTGGGGAGGAGGGAAAGAGAGAATCTTAGGCTCCACGCCCAGTGTGTTGCCTGATATGGGGCTCAATCTCACAACCCTGAGATCGTGACCTGAGCTGTAATCAAGAGAGCCCCAACCTAGTCACCCAGGCACCCAGGTTTCCAGCTTTTAAGGGCATAATAAAGACCAATTCCTTATTTATGTTTAATAACATTTTTTTAAATAGATAATAGCTTTTTCCTGGAGAAGAAAACTCAATCTTGTAAAATAACTTTTTTTTTTTAAAGCAAGTCTTCATGTGAGAAAAATGTAATGCAGGGCAAATACTTGGAACCGTACTTTCTGCTAGAGTCTTACATACGTCCTTAAGACATAGGTCTTTGTTATAAAAGCAGTTTCACGGGTGACTGGGTGGCTCAGTGGTTTGAGCCTCTGCCTTTAGCTCAGGTCATGATCTCAGGGTCCTGGGATCGAGCCCCGCATCGGGCTCTCTGCTCAGCAGGGAGCCTGCTTCCCCCCCCTTTCTCTGCCTGCCTCTCTGCCTACTTGTGATCTCTCTGTCAAATAAATAAATAAAATCTTTAAAAAAAATAAAAAATAAAAGCACTTTCATGTAATATGTCCATGTATTGCATGGTTTGCCTTGGATAACCATGCTTGCTAAATACTTAAGTTGTTGCAGCTTAAATATGCATCACTTAGGGGGCCACGTGGGTGGCTTAGTTGGTGAGCATCTGCCTTTGGCTCAAGTCATCATCCCGGCATGCTGGGATCAAGCCTCACGTCGAGCCCGCATCGGGCTCTCTGCTCCTTCTGCTTTTCCCCCTCTGCCTGCTGCTCCCCCTGCTTATGTTCTCTCTGTCAAATAAATAAATGAAATATTTTTAAAAATATGTGCATTATTCAGTCACAGAGCATCACTGAGAGGCCCTTCGTTTGGACCTAGAGAAACTGCTGGGCCTAGCTAGTCGACCAAATAATATCTTGCTGACTTCTCCCAACTGTTATCCAGCCCTGTAGATAAACAAGATTTGACTGTATCTTTGGTGTTTTCAGGTGGTTTACATCTTGGAGAAAAAACATTCCCGGGCAGCAACTGGCTTTCTCAAACTCTTGGCTGATAAGAACAGTGAACTGTTTAGGAAATACGCCCTGTTTTCTCCCTCGGACCACCGAGTGCCTAGAATTTATGTGCCTCTCAAGGACTGTCCCCAGGACTTTGTGACCCGGCCTCAAGATTATGCCAACACACTGTTCATCTGCCGCATCGTGGACTGGAAGGAGGACAGCAATTTTGCCCTGGGGTAGGTGATCTCTGGCAAGAAAAACCACAGAGCGCACACAGAGCTCAGTTTTGGTGGCCTTTTGGTAAACGCTTTTGTGTATTCTGATTATTATTTCTTTATTAAAACATAGGTACTTGGCATATTTGGGTCCTGGTGTTTCAGAAATTGTTCTTAGCTATCACTTTGGTCACCTGTAGGCTCCTTGAATTGCCAGGCAGTCACCTCTTTTTGTTTTTGGTTTGGGATATAAAACATAAGCACATTGTGAATCTCTACTTGTTTCCCATTATGTCATGAACCTTGTTTGTACCTGTGAACTGTGAGGGATTTATTGTATCGAACAATCAGACTCTTCCGTTCAGATGCTAGTGTTAAAATATGCAAAATTCCAGGCATTCCAGGGGACCTCAGTCTCTGTGCTTTAAAATATAAAAATGAGGGAGCATGGTGGGGGAAGGGGTGGGAAGGCTGGGTGGTGGAGGTGAACAGGTCAGTGGTGCCTGGGGCCCTCTTGCAGACCAGTTTGTGTATTCCTTTAGCTGGTGTCGCAAAAAGCAGGTCTTGGACCTGGAGGAGGAGGATTTGTGGCCAGAGCTGCTAAATAGTGGCAAGATTGAGATTTGTGTCTGAGTGATGCTGGCCAGACTGCCCTGGATAAATTCTCTGCTACGCCCGTTTCACATCCAGCGGGGGAACAACAATGTCTGCTTTCAGGTCCTGCACGTGTTCTCCAGTGTCAGGATGGGTGTCCGCTTTGTATCTTGGGAACACTGGGGCCAGGACATGCGGTTCTGGGCTGGTCACTGTGGAGCTGGTGTGACCAATTCCAGTGCGGTCATGCGGGCCCAGCTGTCTTAGTCAAGGGCTGTCGTTGCAAAACAACCTGACCAGTGCCTTCCAGGTCCTGGGACCATTGGCCAGGGCTTCTCATTAACGAAGGGCAAGTACCTCCCCAGCATTCTGGGTACTCCAGGATCCATTAGAGGATCCTACTGGGCCCTCTCTTCAGGTTCTGGAAATTACTAGAAGACCGTTCTTTCCTCAGAGCTACCTACTGCTGTTACAGGGCAGTCTTTGCCCTGTTGGTGAGCACAGAGGAAGGCTGGTCTTAGAGAGGGCTCTTTGCCTTCCCCGTGACTACCCTCCGATTCAGCCCCAGTCCCCTCTGCCCTGTCTCCTCTCCTTTCTGCTTTCAGGGGCTTTGTCGGTCCCTTTAGAAAAGACCTCTCATCTCAAGTAGAATCTCTTCCTTGTGGCTGGGAAAATTCCAGCCACCATGGGTGGCAAGCTTCCCCTCCCGCAGCTTCAAGGCTGGGACCAGGTCTTGTAGGTGAAAGTCAACCAGTTCAAAAAATGTTTGGAGACCTTCAGGGACCCCTGTGATTGTATGGTATATAACATTTTTTATTAATTTTCCACAAACATTGAGATAATAATACATCAGCAACAACCATCTGCCAATAATATGTAATTAATTTATTATTTTGCCAAAATATAAATATGAAAGTATATTTTAATGATGCACTTTGTTGGTATCTATCCTTCCTAGGTTTTACTTATGGTGTTAAAAATTAAGTTGCCTGACTGTAAGTAGGAAAGGGTACCATGTTTTTATAGAAGGTGGCAGAAACCAGTTAACTTAAATGTAGGTGATGTGGTCACAGAGCATCATGGATAAACCGCTTCATTTTGCTCTGAAGAAACTGCTGGCCCCAGCTGTTTGATCAAAAGCTGTATCTGTTGGGTCCCCTGGGTGGCTCAGTTGGTTGAGCCGCTGCCTTCGGCTCAGGTCATGATCCCAGCATCCTGGGATCGAGTCCCGCATCGGGCTCCTTGCTCAGCAGGAGCCTGCTTCTCCATCTGCCTCTGCCTGCCACTCTGTCTGCCTGTGCTCACTCGGACAAATAAATAAATAAAATCTTAAAAAAAAAAAAAAAAAAGCTGTATCTGTTTTCTTCTTATAATTGTATTCATTTTGAAAGAAAAGCAATAGTAAGTTTTAGCTGTATTTTTAGCCCTTTAAGATGGATGGTGTCTGGTTTATGCATCGCACAAAATGAAAACAAAGGTGTACAAGCTAGAGAAGTTTGTTATGACATTTCTGAGCCAGTTTGGTGACTTGCTTGCTGGTCATCTGACATGTACAGGATGGGCCGTTGTGGGAATGGTGGTTCTGAGAACCCACATTGGAAGGATGGCCACCATGCACTGCTTTTATCGGATTTGTTCAGTACCTAGCCTCTCATGCCTGGCAAAATAAGTCAAACCAGATCTGTGTGTTATATCTTGTGCCGTTTAAGAAACACTGTCTTGTGCCAGTTTTTCAGTGATGTGAAGATTGGTGTGATTTATATGATCTCAGAGCCGCTCAGGAGCAAGTCTGCTTTCTTTTTTGCTCTCAAGTGGAGTGATTGCAGTATCATCATTTTTAAACCTAACCTGTTATCCAAAGGTGACGTCAACCCCTTGAGTCCTAAATAGTCTTCTGAGGCTTGCCAGTTTCTCACCATCAGCTCCAAAGGCCTGATAACAGCTGTGCCACCTGGCCCCTGTTGATTGTGCCTGCCACACTCTGCTTGGCAGCGAAAAGGGAAGACATTCACATCAGAGCAGGAAATCCAACCTTGTCTTTTATCTGTCTTATCCCATTGTGTATAGTTGATTGGACTGCTTCCTTAGTCGTCAAGTTGTAAGGGTGTAGTCAAGAAATCTTCACGATGTGAGTTTCTCTTATTGCTGGAATGGTCTTACAGGTTCCTTTTTCACAGCTGTGCCATTACTTCATCAAGAACTCTTTTCCTTGCGGGCAAATTACAACAGTTGAAAAAGGACTCGGGTCTTTGAAGCAGCAAGGATAGTTGCAAAAAAGAACATTCTAAAATAATGGCCATATATTAGTCATGTTTTTCTCAAAATAAAAATATTTGAAGTTCTCATACTTGGATGGAAAACACTACGAAGTTTTGCTCTGCCTTCTTAGTATAAAGACAGTAAAAGTTGTCATTTATGGAAATAATGCCTTTTAAGATCTTAGTGAAGAAGAGAAAATTTATCTGAAGAAGAAAGAAAATGTGGCAGGCTCTCCTGATGAGGTTGTCAGATGGCGTCCCTCTTCTGAGGGGTCTGGGCTGCCACTGTTGAGCCTGGTGGGGGTTGCCTTGCCATTTTGTTCTGGCTATCAGTTACTGATCTTTAGGCACTGAGGTTACTGTTTCCCAGTCAGAACATCCTGGACTAGGATTGCCTGGGCCTGCTCTCTCATCTTTGCCAGGTCTGGACCAGGAGCACGAAGGTGGTGCTTGCTGTGGATGTGAGCTGTGAGCGTTTGTGGTCCACTTGCCCAGAAACTCTGCCCGAAAGCTGAGGTTAGCTGAAGTGGCTTCCTTCTGAGTTTCTTCCCTGCCCCTACACTCTGTTCTTAAAAAAAAATTTTTCTGCCTACTTGTGATCTCTCCCTCTCTCTCTCTCTGACAAATAAATGAATAAGATCTTTAAAAAAAAAAAAAGATTTATTTATTTATTTATTTGACAGACAGAGATCACAAGTAGGCAGAGAGGCAGGCAGAGAGAGAGAAGGAAGCAGGCTCCTCGCCGAGCAGAGAGCCCGATGCGGGGCTGGATCCCAGGACACTGAGATCATGACCTGAGCCGAAGGCAGAGGCTTTAACCCACTGAGCCACCCAGGCGCCCCCATTCTTAAAAAGTTTTGACCTTCATCTGTCTTTGTCATTGCTCCTAATGATTCAAACCCAAGGTCATTTACTTCTTCTGTAGTTAAATTCAGTTCATGAGACAGGCGTTGATCAACTATGTGTAAGTCCCTCTGCTATATTATGTGAGAAATAGGTAAACACGGTGTGGTTTCTTTATTCAAAGAAATTACAGCCTCACGCAGAAGGACTTGTCCGTAAATGTCAGAGGATTAATTTGATTCCAAGAAATGGAGTCCTACTTGAGCTAATTTAAATAAAAGTAGAAATTAATATAAGAAACTGGTGGTTCTCTTAAAACCCAGGGAAGGAAATGGAGGCAGGCCTCATGAGGATCTCAGAACCAACAAAGTGGCAGAAGAATCACAGCTTCTCTCTTGACGATCCTGACAAGTCCAGCCATCACCTGGTATCTTTTCTGTCCTGCTTTCTGCACATGAGCTCTGTGACTGTGTCGCTCTGCACCATAGCCGCCTACCTGCTCAAAAGCGTACATGGCCACAAAATGGCGCTGCCAGTCCCCTGCAGGTGACACACTGAAGTCTAGGTCATGATACAGAAATTCTAGGGTAGAAAATCTTACTGGTCTAGCCTGAGACAGTTATTTGCCCTGGTCAGTAATTTTTACCAGAAGCAGTGGTCCAAGGTTGCACGGTCCACTGCCTGGTCAGCAGGGACTGTGGGATTTGAGTCTCTGGGAATGAGCATGGATAAAGCAGACAGATTGAAGGGCCTCTTTACTCTAACTGTAGTACGAAGCAGAATGTTGTAAGTTCTTCCATAGGAATAAAGTAGTTTTCTGTAAGTCCAGAGGGCATGGGTGAAGGGAGAAATCCAGGATTGTTTCCGGGAGAACGGAAGCCTCTTTGCTGAAAGATCACTTGGACGGAGAGTCCGGAGTGAACAGGAGGGGACGGGACTGAAAGCAAACAGTCATAACGGGCTATTGTATTAGCACAGAGGAGATGGGGAGAATCTGAAGTAAATGAATTGCAGTGAAGGAAGCAAAAGGAATGAAAAGATTCAGGGGGGATGAGGAAGGTGAATTCTCCCAGAGATGATGACCAATTAGAAATGGGGCATGAATGAGAAGGACAGAACCTCGGGTGAACTTGCAGGCCTCTGACTTGAGTGTTAGGGAGACAGGATAGCGTTTCATCCTGATGCACTGTGAGCGGCCTCAGCTCCTACCTTTCCCTTCTCTTATACCTCATCGTTTGCCATTTCCCAAGCTGACTCTGTGTGTTCATAGCTCCAGATGTTTGCGCACTATGCTTGCTTTCCCAGCCTTGGGTTTCTCTTCTCCCT